CTTCATTTCTTATTAGACACTTTGAGATTAATTTGAGAGGTAGAAGAAAGTTTCCCAGTAAAGTAAGTTTCAAAGTCTTAACATCAAACAATTTTCACAAAGAAGGGAGATAAATCTAATTTAATGCAGTTGTGTGAGCAATAAGTATTTCAGTGGAAGATCCATCTTGAGATAAGTTGGTAGGCATTAAGCCTCAACTCAAAGACTCATGCTTTACCAATATTCAAGGGTGTGCTGGCATGAAAGCATATTACTAAATTCTTCCTTCTAGAAAATCTGCTATGAGGAAAGTTGTCTAAGAGTCTCCATAGTTATATCATCTTCTTTTTTTTTCCTATTTTCAAAAAAATTGGGTCTTTTAGTTATATGTGACATCATCATCTATTTTGATATGTTTACACAAGCATGGAATATACCTTATTCTAATTAGAATCTCGGTGGTCCATGGTTGTACCTGATGTTGAGATTAACTGTGGTGTATTCATACAGGAACATAGGAAAAATAGTCAAATTCATTCCACTGTCTTTTCTATTCCTATCCACCATCTCTTCTCTTCAGTTCCGTTTGTCTAATCCACTGAACTTCTATTCTCCTCCCTCACAGCTTATTGTGGGTTAGCATTAACATATCAGAGAAAACATTTGGCCTTTGTTTTTTGGGATGTTGGCTTATTTCACTGCATGATCATGTCCAAATCCATCTCATCTTCAGATGCATATCCCGCTGTGCTGCTCTTGCTGAGGTCATGCTCCCCCCAATCAATGAAAGGGAACCCTCAAGCCAGGTCACTCATGTTCAGTGCTTGACTCCAGTGAACACAGTCCTTTCTATGAGATCCTCATCAACCTGGCCAAGCCCCCCTCAGGACTGTGTTGAATCTGTCAATTCTCTTTTCTTCCTATTCTCCTTCTGCAAATGTCAGACTTGGCTGGATGCAGTGGCACATGCCTGATATCCCATTGGCTCTAGAGCCGGGAATGTGGCTCTGGATGTTACTCAGTGACTAAGCACCCCCAGTTCCAATCTCAGATACAAAAAATATATATAAATAATAAACAAACCCAAATGTCAGGCTTATACTGTGTTAGAATACAAATCTTGTCCCATGTTTTCTCCCTTTAGCCTTCACAAAATGTACCCATTGCAGCATAGAATACTTCTTGAAATACCTGAGCTGACATAAGTGATCTGGAATTTGAGTCTAATACTGGCTCCCTTACAACTCAGAAAACACTGAAGACTCCCTCTCCTGAGTAGAATGTGGAGCATGGCTAGACCCTTGCACAATGTGTGAATTACTGGAAATGGCTCTGGAATGTATACTACCAAAGAGAAGAGCATTTTCAGATATGATTATTCAAGTATTTAAGAGATGTAAAGGAGAAAATTTCTATTGGAACAGAATTGGTCAGTTATTACTGTTACTGAGTCCTTCAAACACAATGAATAACGGTTAAATGTAAGCATAAATTTGAGACTCAGAGGTCTCATGTTTTGATAATTTAATAGAGTCACTAAGCTCCAGAGGGGTTTAAAGGCTCAGCCAAGATTGCGAGACTATAAGGCTAAGAGTGAGACTTCTAGGCTAAATTTGGGAGATTTATTAAGAAAACCTGGGGCCCTGAAACATAGTTTAGGGACTTCTGCATTTATGCTCCCTAAGGATTTTGGCCCTGTATCTCCTCCTGAATCCTCAGCTTATACAGGTTGACCTTTTCCCTAGATCATATCTTAGTATTCTTAGGATTCTTCCCCTGCCTCACAGGAGCAGCTCTCACCTACTCTCCTACTGCCGTGGTGAAACCCTTGCTCAAAATATACCAAGTCACTTAAGGAGATAAGATATTTCATCCCCCAAAACTTTTAAGAGTAAGCTAAGATATATGAGTAGAATCGAGAGAGGTACGTCCTGGGTTTGAATTTTAGGAGTTTTTGACAAGGCGTTTTAAACTGTAAGACTGGGTAAAAAGTTTAGAGACTAGGAGACCCCTTGAAATTTGATATTTAACACCCTGGGAAAGAACCCAGGAAACAGGATAAACTGCTTCCTATGATTGTTTATAAAACCCTTACTAGTAGAGGTGGCTATGCTGAGCAAACTCCTGTTTGAGTTTGTCCTGGAAATGGTAGGGAAAGTGTAAATAGGCTAAAGGAAGTTATGTTTGAATGGACATAGTTTGTGAGATCAGAAGCCCTAACAGAGGATTATATTCCAAAGGGTCCCAGATGATTCACCACTCACCACGTTTAACATGAGTATGTTTGTGAGATATTCAGTGATCACTAAATATTTGGTGGTGGCTGCCCTTTTCAGTGAAGGAACAACTGTAGTAGAACTGTTATGGATTGAACTGAGTCTGTCTCCTACCGACACCCCCCACCGCCCCCCAAATGCTCAGGTTTTAACTTCTGGTACCTTAGAATTTGAGTCTATTTGGAAATTGGATCTTTATAGAAGTAATCAAGTTCAAATGAGGTTATTAGGGTGATCCCTAATGAAATATGACTCAAATTACCAGAAACTATGAAGAGACAAAGAAGAAATTTCCTATAGGTTTCAGAGTGTAATGGTCAATTTGAATTATCAACTTGATTGGATTAAGAGATGTCAAGGGTTAAGAGGATTATGGGTGTGTCAGTGAATTGGTCTAGAAATGATTGGCATGTATAATAGCCAACTGAAATGAAGACCCTCCCTAAGTGGGGGCCGCACCAACAAATAGGATCATGGCTTGGATGGAATAAAAACTGGAAGAAGAAAGAAGGAGCAGCAGATGCAAGCTCGGTTCTTCTTGAATGGTTTCTTGATTGGTGTGATCATTGTATTGGACTCTCCAAAGCTGATTCCGACAGTGATTCTCCAGAATACTTAGGTTTCAGACTAGGGTAGCACCATTGATCCCTCTGGTTCTGGGGCTTCAGCCTCTTGGACTGTGCAGCTATTGGTTCTCCCAGCTCTCCAGACAACAGATGGCCATTGTGGATTATCCAGTTTCTAGTAGAGTAAGCCAACCTAATAAATCCCCTTTTTATAATTATACTTCCTGTTGACTCTTTCTTCTAGAGAACCCTGACTAATACACAGAGGGAGCATGGTCCTGCAGACACCAGGCCACCCAGTTTGTGGCACTTTGTTGTAGAAGCTCTGGATGACTAAAACAGAGATGCATTTACAGAGGTGGGCTTAATAGCTCTGGTGATGATGGATCTCTGAAACAATAGAAAGAAGTGGCATGACTTATGTGCCAGAAACAAAAGGACTGAAGTTTCCAAAAGCCATCAGCAGTATGACAGGGGCAGTCAGTCCAGCTCAATCTGCAGGAAGGTAAAGATTGATAGACACTGACTGGTTGACCATCAGACAACCAGAGAAAGCAGTTATTCAAGTATGGTGTCACTAGAAACAAAAGAGAGGGTCAGCCAAGGAAGGCTTAATACTTAAAATCAGAATACACAACAGGGACACAGAAGATGCCACAAAAAGTTACAATCACTTACCTAATTCCTAATCTAAGCCAAATTTGAAACCTGGGCCACTAGCTAGAAAGGTACTCAGCATCCAGGATAACGAATATGTAATCTCATGAAATTATCTACTCCTATTTCTTCCCCAAATGTAAACTAAGCAAAGGTGAGTACTTATGAATTCTGAGAGTTATTGAACAATAATACCGAGAGATTCAAAAACTTAACATGGCCATCCAGGTCATAAATGAAATGATGACCAAGGACTGGCTTAAAGTGGATCCACTAGGTTTATAAATGCAATTGGTGGGCATTTCCCTTGTTTACAGTGTTTTATCCTAAGTTACATATTTGGCAATTGAAATAATCACTATATTGAGTTCTGGTCTGTGAAGTGAGAGATAATCAAAATGATGAAGCGTGAGTAGAAGCTTCTGAAATGGCTTCTCATGCTCGATCTAAGATAGGAAATAAAAAATAATTTCCATCATGGGCTGTATGGTGTAATCATTGCTACTATTGAAAACCTAAAGGATATTTTTCAGTCTTGTCCCTATGGGGACTATATGTATCCCATTCAGACTGTAGACTACCATAAGCTCTATTCCAATTAGAATAGAGCTATTCTAATTATCCTGACTGGTGCTGCTGTGCTGAATATGATATCATTGCAGAATAGATTTAAAAGGCACTGAATCCACAGTGTGCTACAATAGATTCACAAATCCATTTTTTTCTTTATCACTAGAAAATGGAATCAGAAACAGTTTACATTCACATTGAGTGAATGGCAACATTCATTTATAGTCTTGCCCTAGCATCCTCTCCAGTCTCTTTCCTGTTAAATTGAAAAGATATGGAGATATCTAGATACTATACTCATTGCTACATCAATGAAAAAGGCTGATTGGGTAGGTAAAGAAAGAAGTTGTTAGAATACAGAAGGCCCTGATAGCACATGAATGCTCCAGAGGGTGGGAGATAGGTCTCCAATGATTCTGAGACCTGCCACTTCAACGATATATTTATTTAGTTGTTTGTTTGTTTATTATTTATTATTTATTTATATATGAGAGTGGAATGCATTACGATTACAGAGCACATTTTTTTTTCATATCTCTGATGGTATACATAGTATATTCACACCAATTCATGTCTTCATACCTTACTTTGGATAATAATGATCATCACATTCCACCATCATTAATAATCCATCTTTAACCTTGCCAGATGCTCAGGGATGGCACAGAGGAAAAGGGACTCAAATACTGGAAAACAAAAATATGTAGAAGTGAATAAGTGGACATATATAGGAGCTGACATGAGTGGAAAGAACTTTCTATACACACTGAAACTGTCTTTCCCTAAAATGCAATATACAGAAGACATGGAACAACCAACTAACTGACAGGATCTTTTGTTTTTAGTTACACTGGAGATGTCACAAAGGTTAGATGAATGGAGTTGCTATGGTAACAGAGAGGAAGGACATAGGAGTTCAACAATATGGAATTCTACTTTCTAAGGTTGATATAGCTACTGAATGTCCAACCTACCAGCAACAGAAACCAATGCTGAATTCCCAGAAGGGCACTATTTCTTGAGAAGACCAACAAACCACTTGGTAGTGAGAAGTTGCTATGGAAATACTGTCTTCATGAACCATTTCTTTGACCCCTTCTTGGTACTCACCCATAACACTTGCTGTGTGCCAGTGGAAATTGAAATTGTATCTATGGTATCATAAGGGTTTGGCACAGAAACTTGATTTTTAACTTATCCTTTTCGTACTTGTTTTAGCTCAAAAGATCAGAGAAATAGGACTTTCTGAAATCTCTTCTTCAGCTTGTTTTATACAAGTAAATCATCACTTAGAAATTTATGCAGTATATGCAGATTTTCCTTAACCTTCAAGTTTTTTTGTCTTGCAGATATTGGTGTGGGAGAGACAGAAGAATTGGTCTTATGATCCTCTCATGTACAAAAAAAGCAGAGTAGACTCGTATATGGATCAATAACTGTGTCCTGGTATCCTTACCCATAACAAGTTCTGAGCTTAGAAATAGATGAAGTATAAAGCATGTTCCTCGTAGAAAGCCAAAAAATCACTCAGGGAGGCATTTCTCTTAGCATGCCATATTGTATGTGACTGGATATGTGCTCAATGCAAAAATTCATAGAAAATATTGTGGAACATTATGGGTGGTGAAATAGGGGATGAGGAGGTGGGAAGATTAACAAAAGGTATAGAATATTTGTCCAGAATTTATTACCAGTCTTAGAATTCTATATGAAAATCCTCTATGTGCAGCAGCTCAACAGATATCAGACTTTTGTGTATTTAGTAAAATTGCACAATCGATGTTAATAAAAGTAACATATATCTAAAGCCAAGAGTATTTAAAAATAATTCATGATATAAATTCTAGGAGAAAAATGAAATGCCCAAACAAATGCAATTAAATAAAGGTAGAAAAATTACTAAATGATAGATTGGAACATGACACTGCCACATCAATCAGTCTGAAACCAAAGTGTGGAAGTGTTTAATATCAGCAATATGAGAATATTAAAATTAACATAGTAATCTTTTAGGATCATTTAGACTTTTTAACCAAACCTTATCCAACAAAGGTTGTAGGCTGTCTGTGTTAAAAGCCACAGACTCATCACCAGACTTTTGGAGACCCAAATTCATGTTTTCTGCCAGCATTTTCTGGTGAGAATAACAATAACATGTTAGCATAAAGCAAAACAAACAAAAGAAATACAAAATACACCTCTGAATATGTAATTCATCAGATTGGAGACTGTCACCACAACACACAAAGAAAATACTCAATTTCTCCTCAATCTTTCTTCATACATAAAAAAATAAGGCACAATATAGCATTTATGTTACCCCCTCCAAATTTTCCAAATGCATACTTGGGATACTTATGGTTTGATGAAGTTTAAAAGAAATTGTTTTAATCTTTTTCCTTTTAGTATTAGCAACTATATGCAATTTTGGATATATTTCATTCATATGTTTCTAATCCATTTGCAATTAAAATGATTTAAAAAGTAACTTTTGAAGCTTTTAGAAATTTTTTCCCCATGAAGAAAGGGAAGTCATGCTTTGCCAAGAAGGTATGAAGTTTAATATTCAAAAGTTTAAATTAAGGTTTAAAATTTCAACCACAAAGAACAGTCACTAGGCTCTCAACCCAGAGGAATGAGTTCTTAGATTTTCTGTTTCTTACCTACTAAATTTCCCAGGATCATGAGGTGAGTCTTAAACCAATGAAATCAAGACTCTCTAAATATAATGAAGTCAAGACTCTCTAAATGTATCAAATGATTGGACTTTGTGAAGCTATTTTCTACATAAGTCTATCTCTAATGTTGGAAGGGAAAAGAATTACATTTCTGAAGAACAGTTCTGGGTGCAAAGGTGGAGCTTCTTGTACCACCCCCCACCAGCCCCACTTATGCTCCCTTCTTAGTGCTGATGGAAAAGATCTAAGTTAAGATGAATTTCCAAGCCACCTGTGGACTTCCACCAGAGCATCCTGGGAAGCCAGTTCTCCTGCAGACAGTTAAGATTCCACAGAAAATTATAAGGAGCCAGATCTACATATATTTTGTTCAATACTTGTGCTTGATTCTATTGAAGCCAACATGGAATTGATCTTTGACTGTTTGAGTAAAAGGAAGCTGAAGTTCATCTTTAGATTCTCTTATTTCATTTTTTCACTTATATATTTCTAACAAAAAGAAAAAGGAAAAGGTCAGATGGACTTCTGACTTGTGGGTGGATCTAGAGCCAGAGCTGATCTACACCAGGAGGCAGCTGCACCTTGCCCTTCTATATGGAAAGGTTTTCCTGATTTTCCAGGGCAGCAGAAGGTACAGAAGTGGTCTGTTGTCCTGGAAACTCTGCACAGTGGCCTGACACAGGACTTTCTTGGCCTGGACTGGGGAGGTGGACAAGCCCTACTTGACTACTGTCATTATTAAATGCAAGAGGTGAAAATAGTAACTATTAAGTGCTTCACAAAATGCCCTACTGTTTATACTTGCTTCTACCCTCCTAGTTGCCTTTAAAGCCCAGAGTTGGAACAAAGTCTGTCTTTATTTTAGACATAGCAAAACAGTCACTGACAGACTTAAGAGAGGACAAGAAGTGTGGTTGAAAGGACAGTGGATTAGAAATCCTAAGATTTGGTTTTAGCCACAAACCAGTTGTGTAACCTTTAGCAAGTCACATAAATTAAGCAGTTCCCAGTGTTCCCTTTTTAAAAAATAAAATGACCTGGTGATCTTTTGGTTTTGTTATGACTATATAAAAGTACAGCTCTGTGTCTCCAAGTGGTGGCAAAGGGGTCAGAGGAGTTACAGAGTGTCCCTTACTACAACATAGATTATTTTCAGGGAAAAGTTAGACTGTGTTCCTGCTATGCTGAAATTAATACTGCATCCAATTTCCTGGGGTTTTAATTCCATGAAGGGTGGAATTGGTGCTCCAGGGTACATAGATGAGCTAAGGTACTTTGGTCGGGAAAAAAAAAAAATCCTGGGTGCATTTGATGGCGGCCATAAGTAAAGGGGAAATGGAGTCCAGGCGGTTCATCTCGTGTCATGCTTGAAAGACCGCTTGTGCATTTATACTTAAAGAGCTGACTCAGGAATGCTGTGACAGCCTTTAACTTAGAATTCTCTTATTTTTCTGGATTTCTGTCTCCTTCTTAATGGTATTTTAATGCAGTTTTTGTGTTCAATTATAATAGTGTTGCTAAATACAGTAGGTCTGATTCCACAGAAGAAGAATAGTTTTTTCAAAATCAGCATTTTCCTGCTGATTTGCCAGCTGTTTCAATAAATACTCATCTCCCAACTTCAAACGAGTATATTGCACTCTTACTAAATATAAATGCTATCCACAGCTACTGTATTCTAGCTTTTGAGTTCTCCTTAAAACCAAACACAAAATCTGCATTACGAGGGACTCCTCTCTCAGCTATAGGCAGGTGATTTTGCTGACTCAGGTGTCCTGAAAAGTAATCAATGATTGCTTTTCTAGTCATTTCTTCCCAGTGTAAATGGCTAAGAATGGGAAAGTGATTAGTAACTCCTCTGATGGTCTTGCCTTCTCTATATTTCTATCTCGAAAGTATAGGAAATTATTAGTCAGAGCAGCCTAAATTATGATAACAATACCATTTCTGTTTTTCTGTTTTTTAAAAAGACTTTGACCTCCCTGGTGTAATAAGATGAAATATGTACTTGAGCACAAGCATTAATTTTGATTTTTGAACATAAAAGAGAAATAAGATAGATGGATCCAGTGTAAGGAATAGCTTTTGATAGACTATAAGGGTGGCATGTGATATCCTCAATATTAATTGTGTACTATAGTACACAATAATAATTGTGTATTATAGTATTTACTAATACTATAATAACTCTGGTTATGGACCAATGGAAATATAACACTATACTCTGAGCTGTACATTGCTTTACTCAGAGTCCTCATTGAATTGAATGTGTGCATTTTTCTTATTTTTAATCAGCATTACAAGAAATACAAGCAATTAAGTCTTTCAATATCTTCTAACAATAGTGAAAAGGCAGCTATAATAATTGTAGTAAGCATATTTGTTGGTGTTTGTATTTAGAAAAATACTAGTTGGTCTTTTATTTGACAGAAACTAAAGCTGAGGAATTGTTACAGAAACAAATACAATTCAAAAGCAAAGTTGCTCCTCTCAAAAAAAAAATTATTTTTGCATGTCTATGCTTTTGAGTAAACATTTCTATCCAATAGATCAGTCGGGCTAATAATTAAAGGAAAGTATGAACTGTTGCATTGGTGGGTAGCAGCCCCCACTGGCTGATCATTACATTGATAACAACCTTCTGTGGTAATGATGGCTCAATAGCCACTGGGTTGACTATTTTCCAATCAAACTATTTTCCCCACACCCTCAGAAGATGAGAAAAATGTGAGGCCCTGAGGTACTGAGCCCAAGAACTGCACTCTCAGACACGTGGGTGGCCAAGAGCAAATGGCCTGAAAACACTCTTGCTTGGTAACATGCTGTTTTCACAAAATGACACTGGTGGTCCACCCTGAGCTCTGGACACACAGACTGTCTACACATAAGAACCAATCTGAGGGGACAAGTAGGCTGAACACAAACAACCAGGTATTGACTAGATCTGGCCACTTTGGGTTGTTGGTTTTTGTCAAAATAACTGGTCATTTAAATGAATTCAATCATTTTTAAAATCAGTTTGCGGATGCAGACACAGCCACAGTCTAACATAGTTGACATTCTTTTCCTTGCAGCTGGAATTAGAAATTAGACACTTTTTTAGACTCTCATCCATTCATAGCCTATTTTCTTTGCATACTTTATGGTTTGGGATTTCTGAAATAAATCTTATATGCAAAGTTTGATTTAAAACGCTTTAAGTTGATGTAATTGGAATTGTTTACAGTATTTTCTAAGGCTTTTATCAGATGATCATCATACTTAACATTAAATCAAACACATTTGGAGGCATTCTGAGGTTTAACACGAAGTTTGTAGATAAAAGTTCTAGTTTACTATAATTTTTACACCTCATCTAAAAAAATTTTGGTACTGCAAATGAAATCTGCAATTTGAAGAAGAGTTATATTTTGAATTGTTAAAAAAATGCCTGAGTAGAGTTTTGTTTTTTTTTTTTAATGACTCAGCTTTTGACCATTTAGAATGAATATTTATTTATTTACCTCCCCATTGGAATGCAAGCTCTATGAAGGCAGGGACTTTATGTTTTTCACAGTTGTATGCACTCTACCTAGGCAATGCTTGTCATGCAGCATGCCCTCATGAATAAGTATTATATCCAGGCATTTCATAAAATTTTATTTAATGGATTCCAAATGCCATGGCAGATTCTGGGAACAGCAAGCGAAATATTGGCTTTTTGTAATAAAAGAACTGACATCTAATGAAGAGAGAGATAAATAAAAACATTATTACCATTCTTAATAAATACTCTTTTAACAGCTATTGGCTTCCATGTGTAAGCTTAGAAAGGTTTACAAAGAAACTGGAAAGAAAAGCACAAAGAAGAGGCATCTCCTTGCTGCAAAATGAGGCAAGAAGAGGAAATAACCCATAATAAATGATGACTTAGCTAATGTCTGGAGGAATAGGTAAGCAACTAAACTCTTCAAATGCCTAGTGAAATCAATTTTCAAAAGTGTACTTTAAGGGCTGGGATTGTAGCTCAGTGGTAGAGCGCTTGCCTTGCATGTGTAAGGCACTGGGTTTGATCCTCAACACCACATAAAAATAAATAAATAAAGATATATATACAAAAAGTGTACTTTAATTTGAAGAGAACAAAGGTTTTTTTTAAAAGTTTTTTTTATAGACACATGGTATAAAAGAGTACATTTTAGAAAACTGTTGACTGTAGGATGTAAAATAAGTTGGAAAAAAACAGTGAAATAATCCATTTGGGAAACAATGTGGATTTGAAATAATGCAATGACTTAGGAGATGAAGAGAGAGACTTAAATGGGCTTGAGAGATATCGAGGAAGTAGAATTGAAAGATTTGAGACACATGGGTTTAGGGAATGAGAAAGAAAAGTATAGGTAGAACTAAAGATATTTCCCAACATAGGAATTGGAAAACTAGATGGATTATATTTTCATGCAACTTGATAGAAAATAGAAGACATGAGGACACTTGAAGGGAAGAGAATGAATAACCATAAAACTAATTTGGAGCATTTTGAAATTGAGATGCCAGTGTCGCACTAATGAAGAAGTCCCCTGAAAAAAGTGAGATATGGTGTGCTGTGCTGAGCTTAGTGATGTAGGTTGAGAACAGGACTTGGAAGACATCAACAGAGATGAAGGAAGTTTGTCATGGAAAATGAGATCATGAGAAGACAACCAAGGAGGTAGTCCTGAGGAGCACAAAGGGCAAAGAACAACCAGAGAAACAGAAGCAACTGACAGTCCAAAGTGTTCGAAAAGAGAACAATGAGGAAGTAATGATAGCAATAAGTGTTATAGGGAATATAAATATTGTCTCAAGTGATATCAAAATCAGGTAAGATGAATACAGAAAAAAATCTATTGAAAAAATTTTAAAGAAATTATTCTTTCTACATGACCAATATGATTCTACAACCTGAACACTCAGAAAAATGAGAAATTATATCCCATCTGATTCAAATATATGGTATGTCAAGGTCATTGTACTGTCATGTATAACTAATTAAAACAAATAAAAAATTTAAAAAATATATTCTTTCAGAATTGACAATTAGGTGGTTATTCACCAAGCATGGAAAAACAGAATAATCTGAGGCCTGGAAAATAAAGAGGGCAGTACATGAAAGATAGACTACTTTCTATGACTAGAGCATAGAAAAATTTAAAAGTGGAAAAGAAAGATTAACAGAGCAGAATTTTAGTTTTGTTTACTCATTTATTCATTTCAAATTGAATACACTTAAGAAAATATGGAAGGAGTAGGTGGAAGTTGATGGAATCCAGGCCAGAAAGGAAGTTACTACTAGCATAGGGTAAAGGAGAAGAAGCATTCTCTGGGAAATGTTAGGGAAGGAGTGAAGTGTTCATGGGCAGGTTAAGTTGTTATTGCTGGGGTCTCCATCAAATCATTGAAATTGGGCTGATGAAGGGAGAGAGGCATTACTAAGCTAGTAAGTTGTTGTTGTTATTATTATTATCATTATTTAGTAACAGGAATTGAACTCATGGACACTCAGCCACTGAGATACATCCTCAGCCCTATTTTGTATTTTATTTAGAGACACAGTCTTATTGAGTTGCTTAGTGCCTCGCTTTTGCTGAGACTGGCTTTGAACTCAAGATCCTCCTGCCTCAGTCTCCCAAGCTGCTGGGATTACAGGCAGGTAGTAAGTTTTTGAAATAACTTTTGTACAAAACATTAAAAAGTCATTCTGGAAGGCATTTTACTATATAGCAGTATGGCTTTAATGCTATGCAAGTTCAGATACCTTGCATTTTACAAGGTTAGTGATTGCTTATTAGTATTTGCCATCAATGTTCAATTTTGTCCAAATATGTTTTTTCTGTTCCAGAATAGATCCTATCAAACAGCTTTGCAGAGTCCTTGGGTTGAAGATAGATAGAAAGATGTTCAAGGTAAGAGAAACAAAGTAGTAATCCAGTAGTCAGCTAACCCTGACTTCAAGATTTGCTCTTCTATTGTTTCCTGGATGAATCTGCAACCACCATTGTGAGCCTGAAACTTTTCTTCTATAGCACAGAGATAATAATCCCTGGCCTTCCAGTTTCACAAAACAGTTTAGAGGTTCAAAATGGATTATGCCTTTTAAATTCCCATATAAGCAAGTTATTTTTTTTTTCATTTTACTGAATACAGTGTATTTTATGGCAAAGCATGTAGACCTAGAAGGATACGGTTCAACTGTGACCCATGCAATCAATCTTTCAGAATCCATTAGAGTCAGATTAATAATATTTATTTTGACCAAATAATCAGGTGGAGAAATATTCTCTAAACTAAAATTTGTTTAAAAAAATGAACATTTTCAAAGGTAGTTAAACGTGAAAAATATTTTTAAACATTTAAAAAATTTGCAACAGATTAAATTCAGATGTAATAGGCAATTGTCTAAAAATCTTTAATCTTACCATCTTTAATTTTCCACTGGAAGCAATACAGCCTTTCTACCTTTCATAGTAATGATTAAAGTTATATTTGGAGCTAATTAATTGACTACTCAGCTGTGTCCAAGCACTGTATTTAACAAAATGATACTTAACCTATGAGCTGGGTATTTACATTTTACAGATGGGAAATATGTATTCAGAGAGATTAAATAGCTTTTCTTCCAAGAAGATATATAAATGGATTTAAGCTCACATCTTTCTGATTTTGATGCTCATTCTCTTAACCATGGCACTCTGGCTCCCAACCATATAATGTTCCAGGAATAATCAATATTCCTCCCTCTCTCTCTCTTTCTCTCTCTCCAAGATATAAGTAGATTGAGTGGATAAAGGTTATGCAAATAGAAAGTGGAAGAGGGAACAGGAAAAAATAGATACTATGGCACATCAATTAATTATTACTATCTTGTTGCAGATATTGAGTATACATTCAGGGGTTAGATTTAAATATATTCACAAGTGATTACATGTTAACTATACATAATAATATGTTGAAAAATTCTCAAACCTGTTAATATCAATTCATGCCCATATTTCTGTATTTCTGGAAAATGTATTTAAGTAATTTCTGGACATCTGTATGTCCTGCATTGATGCGGCCTTCTAGACCATTGTACCAAAAGTTAAACTTTTGTATGCTCTGACTACCTTCCTCTTTACCTAAACTCTCTTCTCTCATATTCTCTATGCAAGAAATTATTTAATATTCAATTTAGGCATTAGATGTTTGCTGAGAAACTGGTCTATTCATCCTCTAAGCAATCATAAATCCTATAGTCGTACTTTGTAACATCCATTTTGTCTAGTTCTGATAGTATAGTTTCCATTGTGCTTTCTTTTGCTTCTATCTAGACATTTTGACTTATTCAATAAATAATTATTGAATCATCTGTCAGGAATTAATTTTTTTAATATCAATTATTTAAAAAATGTTCTAGTTCTCATTGAATCTTTATTTTATTTATTTATACAGTGCTAAGAATGGAATCCAGTGCCTCACCCATGCTAGGAAGTGATCTGAACCACAATCCTAACCCCAAGCACTAATCTTGACACTGTAGATAAAAATGAACGTTGTTGACTTCCTTGACCTCATGTTCTCATGGAAAAGAAGTACAAAATATATATTAGTAACTTGTGTACATGTTAAAAGAAGATAAATGTTATTTAATCCCATCTTTCTGACTCATCACTTGCTGTGTTAGTCAGTTTTTCATTGTTGTGACCCAAATACCTGATATAAAAATTAAAGGAGGAAAAATTTATTTTGGAACATGTTCACTTTTAGCTAACTCCATTGCTTTGGACCTGGGACAAGGCAGAACATTATGGTGGAAAGGTGAGGCAGAGGAATGCTACTTAGCTCATAGCACAGGAAGCAGGATGACAGAGAAGGTGAAAAAGATAGGAAGGGACCAGGGAAAAGAAATAGCCTCCAGAGCAGGCCCTCAGTGACCTGTGTCCTCCAACCATGCCCCTCCTAATGTTTCCACCACCTTCCAGTGGTCCATTCAGCTTTCAATGGATTAATCCAACGATGAGGTCAGAGCCCTAATTGAACCAGTCACTTCCCGAAAGTCTCACTGCTGAACATTTCTGTATTGGGGACCCAAACTTCAACACATGAAACTCTGGGGAACATTCCAGAACCAAATGTAATACCTGTCACTGCATTTGACTTAGTAAAAGAATTCTCACTGTCAGGTCCATACTGTCTTTAAGCTCAGATTTCTTAGCTTGGCACTTAAAATCGCATGTGAACTGACTACCTGACTATTTGCACGACTATCAAACTCTATCCATTCCCATCTTTTGGCACATTGTTTCATATTTACAAGATTATTTAAAGTTCCCATTGTTTATTGAAATGTTCTATTCTCTTGCACATTCTGTTTCACCCACTTGCACTCCAACTTTTTTTTAAGCCCTTTTTGGGTAAACAGACAGTTTTAAAATCTTAGCTCATGTCAACTATTCTCTGAAGTCTTTCTGTTACTCACAGACAAGGTAGATTTGAGAGATCATTCTATCTAGTGTATATCATGCTGTCCTCTGTCATTCCAGCTATGATATTGTATTGCATCTTTTGTTATAAAACTCCCTTACAATATTAGTCCTGAAGAAACTTGACAGTGGGAACCATCTTTGTGTTGCCAGAGACTAACCAAGAACTTGTCATAACATATGTACTAGATTAATATTTGCTAAATTAATGTATATTGAAGAGTTTAAAATTGTCACAAATAGGATCCTGTGCTCTAGTCTTTGAAAAAATTCATCTTTCTAAAAACTTACTAATATTGCCTCATAGAATATATTAGTTACAGCTTACATTCACAATCACTTTTTATAGGTACAGTCTTGATCATTTAATGTGTATTCTATTTAATCCCAGTAAGAATAGGAAGTATTCTATTGAATACTTATATTTTTATTTATTTGAACTATTATTCTTATTTATAGATGAGGAAACATAATGGGAGGTTAACTGAGCCCTTGCAGTCTGACTTGAGGATGCCATCTCTTTCCCCTTACATTGAATATCCTTTCCCTACATAAATACTCATTATGTGTATCACAGTTGTTTCCCTGAATTTAAAGACAATCAGAAAACTTTTTAAATACTAATTTATTTGATTGGTAGAGAATACAATATTGGCTATTGACTCCTTCCTTATTTTAGATGTACCCTAAATACACTCTGAAGATTAAAATTATCATACCTTTAATTAATTTCATTTGAACATATTTATTCATCACTATACATAGTTTGTCTAGAGCTATTTTTTCTTTTTTCAATTAAAGAAGGATGTATTTTGACCTGAAATAATTTTGTGTAACCTTAATTTTTTAATTGGAGTATATGGTTTTTATTATAGGGAGACATTGCCTTGTGGACATAAAATTATTACTGAATAAGGCTATATGCATGTGTTTGAATATGAAAGTATTTAACTACAGGCTTTCAAATATGTAGAATGTTTCTCTTTAAATAGAATAAATGATGGCTCATAAATGCAAACCTGCTATGTTATATTCATACTTCTCATTGCAGGAACTGGAAACAGGCCTAATAACTTTTTTTTTAAATGAAAACACCATATTTATGAAAAAATTCATTCAGCTTTTACTTTAATTATCCCCTATACAGGCCTCAGTCAGGTATAATCCTTGATATAAAGAAATAGAAATACCTCCTCTGCATTCTACTTTGCTTAGTCCTAAAAAAAAAACTAAGAAAAGCTGAAAAAAATGAGATCATTGTGTCATCACTTGGTCATTCATTCAGTTCTCATCCTACAGATAGCAGGTGAGGCTAAGATGGGAGAGTTTTCACACCAGTGAATTGTGAGTAGACATAAAATGGAAATCAGAGAGCCTTTCAGGACGGTAATGAAATTCATCCCTCGAACTAAGAACTTTAATTGAACAAACAAACATGAAAAGAGTGAAACATAAAAAGGAAGAAAACATATAGTGTATGAACACAAGCACACATACCAAGAAGCAGTACCTGTTATGCGTATTTTAAATTTGGATCTTGGGCAAGCCCTGCGTTCACTGACCTAAGAAAAATTTAAACACAGAAAATATATATTCTGTTCTCCTTAACAGTAATTTCACTGCTTAATATCTTATAATTGAAGGTCTTTATAGTTATTTTAATACATGTCTGTTGTATTCCTTTTAATAAACTATAAACTGTTAAAATCTAAAATTGCATCTTATTTATCTTCATGTCCTAATTATATAGCATAGTGTCCATCTTAGAATAAATTCTCCATTAATGTGTAAATACAACAATGAGTGGATAAACAAATGTGTATCTTCAGCAGTGGGGTCAATGCCTTTGTGACACTGATATCTGCTCAGTAATTAATGGCCTGAGCATGGAAATTTTAAATATTGACCCTAAACATATGGATATCATCAGCATAACTTTTAAAATGATGCTTTCCCATCATATTTGGCCCTTATCTGGGAACTGCTTCCCATGACTGGTAGGGAGTTCCTCTCAGTGGTTTTCGTCTTCTTTTCTGAACTTGTGAATTGGTCATAGGTAATTGATGCAGGTGTAATTCACCTGATTTGAACTGATCCAAGCAGATTATCTCCTCATAGATTTTTCTGATATAAAAACCTAATTCTGAATATCGTTGTAGTAAACTAACAATAAAAATAGCATTCCAGAAGGGAAAAAACCTTTAAACTACTGCTTTTGTAATTTAGTTCCTTGACAAGTCCTGATTATCTAACTATTTTCTTACATTTCAAAAGCTATAGTTTTGTCCTTCTGCTAAGTTTCCTCTTAAATCACCAGAGGGATTTATGCCTATGAACTGAAAGATTGTAACTGTTAAATATATGAAAGAGGAATGAGTCTCAACCCTTTTTTTTTCTCTTCACATTCGCTACAGAAAGTTGACTGTTGTGCTTTATATGTAATATTCTGCCTTTGTAAAGAGCTCCAATTTTCAGCTCTGATTAAATTTTCAGGCCAAATTGCTAGCTCATGAATGGCACAGGTGTATTCTCTCTAGACATTCTAAAATATTAGGAAGAGCGGTTGGGTCAGAGATCTAAAAAGAGGATAAAGGTTGTCTGTCATTCACCAAAAGATATTCTTTAACAAGGAAGCTTAAATTTTATTGTGATTTCTATGGTTACCATTTCATCCTGGGAGATTAAAAAAAGAGACCAGTTCTTTTGCAATTTTTTTTTTTCACTTTTCCCTCAGGGAGAACAATCTGCTTCCTCCGAATTTCTGTTACCCTTTTCTTTACCCTTCTCTTTCACTGTTCTTTGCTTGCAGAAGATTGTTTTGATAGAGGTAATGTGGCATAGACCTTGAATTTCAAACACCAACACAAGTAGAACAAAAAGATGCTGGTAACAAGGCAAAAAAAAAATCAGACATTCTGCTTGACTTAAAAATAAAATTCTGTTACTGTATTTAATATAGAGAAAGATTCTTATTCAACAAAATGCACAAGATATATTGAATACTACTATTAGGATGTAGGTAAGTGTAAATAAAAGTTTATAATTCAAAAATGTTAAATTATTTTTTTAATTTTATAATATTTAATGAAGAAATAATACGTCCAGAAATTCAGAGACTTTAAATGCATTTAAATACATTAAATAGCCTTTAAATTTCTTGTGAATTGCACATTCAATTTTATCAGGGTAATAATTTTTAAAAATGCAAAAGAAAAAAAAACTTGAGTGTTAATAAGCATTTGTAATTCATCTGGGATTGTATTTTTCAGAATTTGATCTTTTCATCCTCTGCAAAGTACTACCAAGCCCTGAACATTAAAAGAGCAATAGGTAACAAATGTTTTGAAATTAATCATATGACAACTTGCTTTATAATTACTGCTATGATGATTATATTATTTAGTTCAGGATCTCAAACTATTTTCCTTTATAACCCAAAATAGTGCAGAGATTGCAGATAAATTCTTTATTCCTTGCCAGTTGTGCATTTATTTATTTATTTTATTTGTTCTTATTAGTTATAATGACACTAGAATGTATATTGACATACTATACATATATGGAGTATAACTTTTCATTCTTCTGGTTGTATATGATGTAGAATTACATTGGTTGTGTAATAATATAATACACGGAGGAAATTAATGTCTGACTCATTCTACTATATTTTCTATTCCCATTCCTCCTCCCTTCACTTTATTTCCCTTTGTCTAGTCGAAAGTACTTCTATTCTTCACTCTTCTCACCACCATTATGAGTTAGCATCCGCATATTGGAGAAAACATGCAGCCTTTGTTTTGGGGGATTGACTTATTTCTTTGAGCATGGTCCATCCATTTATTGGCAAATGCCATAATTTCATTTCTCTTTACAGCTGAGTAATATTCCATTGTGCACATATATAATGTATATAATGAATAGGTATAAAATATAAATAATAATGTGCATGTATATCTTTATATATATACACACAATATATATTATATATGTGTGTGTATATATATATATATATGTCTCTGTGTGTGTGTGTGTGTGTATACACACAAACATCACATCTTCTTTATCCATTCATATGTAGAAGGGCACCTTGGATGGTTTCATAGTTTAACTATTGTGAATTGAGCTGCTATAAACATTATAGCTAAATTATACTATAAAAGTTAAGTAGTATT